TTCCCTTTTTTGACATAGAAAATATTATATATTAGGTACCGGATATCTTAGTGTCGCTTTTCTGAGTTCAGGAAGTTTTGGGGCCGATTACTATGGAAAATCAATATCCCAGAAGGCAGTTTTTGCTCATTAATATTGCGAAATATGTTGCTTACCGTCTTCTATTGTTGGTTCACAATTTAACTTTCCCCCAATTTTTATACTTTCTTCTGAAAATTCCTGGGTCCAGTGTGCAAATTCGCATGTGTGTACCAAATGCATCAAAATTCTTGCTGAGAGCTGTAACCTCCGCCCACCAAACCAGCATTGCATTTGATGGAGGGAATACTACCATTTAAAATGCTCATCGGTTTTTCACAGTTTTCTTAAAAGACAGTAAAGTCTTTGAAGGGATGCCCGCAACCGTCGCCAAAAAGGTGGTCCTAGCTAAATCAGTCAAAACGGGGCTGCACCAGTCTTGTGCTGGAATGGTAGGACACCCTAGCAGTTACTGATCGATGGTGCACAGACGCTCTAACGAAGTTGATTGACCAAGAAATTCTAATAAATGTGCTCATCTGCTACTCACGTGTGCTCAAAAAGGGTGCGCTTTTGACCCCATGTGGCAAAAAAGACTCCGGGAAAAATTGTCCAGTTGAGCTGGTAAGTAATAAATTTTCCACCAAACAGTGCAGACCCTACTCTAACTAAATGTATACATATTTTGTCCAGGCCCAACTGTTTAGCAAGGTAGAGGGATGATTTGTCAGATGATGTCAAATTCGACCTACCTCTTTTTCGTCTCAAAAAATTCCTAACTTTAATCGTACGAGGTTTTCACTCATACTGGTAAATGGGAAAGGGCTAATGAGTCATTCGATGGATATGCCGTTTCACTCACTGGATTTTGAATTAAAATATTGGTGGTCCGAAACTCGCGGTGAAAAAACGACACTAAGATATCCGGTACCTAATATTTTGTTCATTTCTGAAATACCTTTCCAAAATATCCATAAATGTTATCATTTCAGGATAAGATGAAGGCGAAGTTGAAGATGATTACAGTGCTAGCGAATTTGTTCGTTCGGCATCGTCTACCCCATTGGCTACAAATGTCTGACAAGAACAGTTATCCACCTGAAACGCGTAATTGGTGAGTGGCTAACATTTGCATCCATCCGGTCAGCTTTTTAAAAAATACCAACACAAAAGTAATTGTAAGATCTCTTGGATGTTATGTGAGCTATTTCGCCGCAAAAGGTCTGCTGGGTTTCGTAGCCTCACTTAGGGATACCTGAATAGTGCTGTGATGCTTTGTTAACGCGCCACTCCATCAACCAGTGTTTTAAGACTCCAGACAGCCAAAACAATGGAATAGATGAGAAATCCTCCGAAAGGCCCGCGCATCTCCTGCAATCCCTTGGTTCAGTTGTCAATGGCCTCAGGATCTCAAAAAATTGTTTGTTATAATTTAAACTTGTTCCAGATATTCACGCTGATGCCTCACGAAATGTAACATCGTGAATTTGAGTATACAAGTTCTATCAGTCTCATAAACATTTATGGCGGCCCGCCCTAAGATCGCAAAACTTCGGTATATCAATACCTGTTTCATTAAACTTTGCATAAAGTATGTTAGTTTTAGCTATGTTCTTTTCTAATGTGAAGCCTCTACACGTTTATCAGTTCAGTGCAGATCTGACCCAAACTTTTGGTCAAAATTCACTGCTATAATAATATTTTAGCATTTTGTTACTTTTTGTACTAAAAAACTTTCGTGCGCAGTCAATGCACTAACATACGATTCAGGACATGGAGCCCTTTTTGAAAACGGTTTTTTGCATGATAAAGGGGCACATGCATGGAGTACAAAACTAGGCTCCATTTTTTCTGAGCGGCCCCTCTGGATGCCAAAAAAGGAGTGAAAAAAATTTCTTCAGAAATCGGAGTTTTCACACCTTCAACGTAGTTTATATCACTCGTTATGTTAAGTGGACGCACAATAGAAATTTTCTTCACCTGAACGTTGAAAACAGCGTGGAATAAGCCAATACCAAAAATTGTATATAATAAGTGCTCAAAAGCACAAGGAAGTTTCATCAGAGTCGTTGACATTCATTGTACAGCGGTGGTCGGATGGTCGAGTGGATAGCGTGATGGACTCTGGTTGGCACGGTTTGTTCGAAGTTGTTGGTTCGGTTCCCCTCCATGCTCGGATTTTTGCATTTTTCCGATTATCACTTTTCTGCATTTACATGTGCTTGCGCGTGAACTTAAAGCCTATAGGTGTCATTTCCAAGAACTTCTCCCACAATTCTGCGATATTTCGTAGTACCATGTTTTTCAGTTGTGTACGAAATTCCGTTTACAAGCAATAAATAACTAGCAGTTATGGTAAAACTCAATGAAGCATCTGAATCACAGGCGCAGATCACACCAACTGCATCTAACGAACGCCAGAAAAGTGAAGTTGTCATTTTCTTCGCAAGGAACACCTACTCCATTTCCCTTGAAGGCAGATTGCCGGCGTTGAGGAACGTCCAGGATGCTCGTCGACTTACCCAGTGCCCACCCAGGCATACGCCATGCATCGACGAGATCAGGGGTAGCCGAATTGCCCCAAGCAGGACTGCGGTGAAGTAACTATCAACCAAACGTGTCGCTTGCTATTATCTCGAAGCTGTCTTCAAGTGGGAAGCGTGCATGCCGTACTGACTATGGGCTAACCCATGGCCCAATTTTTGAATTCGGGCCGAAATCTTGATCTTCTCTAAAACTGCGGCTATAAGGGTAATTATAGGCGCTGATTACGAATCTGACGTCCATTTTTGATGGAGGCGCGATATTGCGCCATTTTAGCCTCCTCGGGCACCAACGGCGCCGCTTTAGCGCCATACAATTTTCGCCCCCAATTCTGGGCAGAAACCTAATCAGAAAGGTTGATAATGACCCTGATTGTAAGAACAGTGCATATTTCTATCGCGGTAACATTTGGAGTTAACATGGCCGGCTAACGCTGCAACAATTTGTCATCAGCCGGGACCGATCCCTCGACCGATTTTTCATACCTTTTTTGGCACTCACAGGGCCGCTCAGAAAAAATGGAGCATAGTTTTGTACTCCATGCATGTGCCCCTTTATCATGCAAAAAACCGTTTTCAAAAAGGGCTCCATGTCCTGAAAGACACCTTTCCTGGTAATTCCAGTGGTACTAAAGTAGTCCAAGCAGTTTTGTAGGCTCCGAGATTGCTAATCCGGCACGGATACCTCAGCCTGTTAATTCACTGAAAAATTGTGTCACCCGGTGTTGAAGGCTTGCATGCACCAGTTCTGCCAAGTATCGATTCAACAAACGTGACCATCGTGGCAGAAAGGTAAGCAAGCACTGTGCTTGTTTTCTTTGCGCTTCCCTTATCAGTGTAAAATTAAATCGGATCAGGGACGTTAAGCAATCTTTTATTGCAATTGCTGAAATAATGAGTGCGAATGGAGTCGGCGGCCTAGAAGGGAAGTTTCCATCGAGCTAATTCAGGATCAGCTAATTTTGTTTCCTTAATTCAGATGACTGCTTTGCACTCTTGTTGTTCTTCAAGAACATTGTTGTATTTCATTGATTACTTGTTGTTTTCAGATTCAATACAATGCATTTGCGGTCGCATTTTATATGCATGAATCGCGACAGAAACTACACTCGATGAACTGTATTCATCGTGAACGACATGTAGTACCTTCTGCATGCTCCAATCGTTAATTTTCTTTTTTCCTTTGCCTTTTTTTCATGCCATCTTCCACACAATATGAAGCAGCGTCACTTGGTCTTTTGCGTGTGTGTGGTTGGGGACGTGGGGCGGTGAGCTCGTGTGTGCTATTTCTTTTGCGCATTGCCCCAAGCACTGCTTACCAACCTTTTGTGTCCCGTATCCAGGCAAATCGAAATTTTCTATCTAGCACAAATGTAGCACCAGACATTCGATTGCATCAAAGGATACGTGATGTCTGATTTTCCAATATCGTCGTCTGGTCTAAAATCACCAGTACGCATAGAGAAGCCGCGATAAATCGTTACCACGTGTTCTTTTTACGTTGTTGATGGCCCATGCACCGTATATTTCGCTCAGTCTGCGACTAAGCTTAGATGGGGGAGACAAAGCGTACATTCGTACTTAGTTGTTACTGTACTTCTAAACATCATTAAAGTCCGCGTCGTCTCGGTCACTCATACACTTTCGAGAAATCGTAATTTCTATGAGATTTACAAATGTTTGAAAGAAAAATATCTTTCTGCAGCGCATTATACAACGATTGGCCGAAGGACTGGAGGCTGTCGCAAGGCAACAAGATCCCGTTGCGGAGTTGTTGCGTGAAATTCATACGGAGTACTACTCGAAGTTCTGTAGCGCATTCGGAATGAAGAGCAAAAACTGAGTGAACAACTTGCTGGTAGCCTCAATTTTCTCGAATTTCGACTTTATGTTTTATTTGCACAAGTTGTTTTATATGGCTGGAAGTTGTGTTCGCCCCATCTACTTGCCACACACATATCTAATTTCTCAATTTCATTATTTCTTGCTCTGTTAATGGTAGCACATTTAGAGCCTGAAGACGGCAGACTGTTAGAGTGTAGCGTTTTTGATCAGCTGTCACTTGTTATCTATATTTTTTGTTAGTATGGTTCCCTCTATTTTGAAGACTGTTTTCTTGGGTGTTGGTCCGGTTCGAAAGTAAGGGTCAGCGTTGAGATGTCACCGCTTTGAAGCTGAGCATTCTTTCTGGTCAAAGGGTCCTCTCTCGTTTTGTTTCGTTCTTCAATCAAGTGAAAGTTCAGTCAGTTGCCGTCTTTGTTAAACATTATTTGTTGTTTTTCCGTCAGAGTATCTCTTTTCTCCTATTTTTTGCGTTGCTAATCGCTTTAGATGCTTTAGTAAAATTTTATATATTTTGGGAGATTACTTAATACTTACTTAGCACAAGGACGAAGGGTCACCTTTTGGTTGGAGAGGTTCTTGATCTTCGTTGATCAGAAGATGGATATTTACAAGCCAACATCCCGAAAGGTGCTGGGTCAGGCAGTCAGTTACACTTTGAATGGGGTCGCTGAGACTGGTGTAAGGGTTTTCTCAGAAGTAATGAAGTGAAGAGAATGATACGTATGTTATGATGTGTATTAGGGATGTCTAGGTGTGCCAGAGTGAGACCACAGGTAAAGCTATGAACTCCTTTTTGGGATGCGCCACGCATCCTACTTCCACTCAATTCCGTGGTGATATTTGAATACGGCATGGCCTGTAACACCTTGTACAAGCCACTCCTTTAATATGTACTGCCACACCTTGGTCACCAAACCGACCACAGAGTGATGGAAGCTTGGATGAAGTCCAACCCAAGATTGGATCCCTGGACCGTGCGTGTGGGAAATGGCATATTTGCCACTTCGCCGTGCACGCTAACGCGTAAAATTGTACGATGACATAATTTATCTTTTTCTGAATAATTCATTTGCCACATAACATATATCTTTGGTGATTAGTATAGGAATGAATGGAAGACTGAACCACATAAAAAGGCTGTAAAAAACAAGAAGAAATAAATTTTGGCTTCTTTGTACACATATCACAGCGTTGCTTTGATTACAAACTTTAAGGCGTAAATAAGTGTTATCACCAACACAGAGACGATACTGCAGAGGAAAAGGAAGGAATGAATCAAATAGGAGGAGAAAGAGGTTGGAGGATAATTACATCTCCGAGGCCAGCTTTGAGACATGAAATGGTGGAGACGATGTTTTTATGTGAGAGTTTTTTTCGGCAATATGGCCAATAAACGAGAATCGATTGAGATTCGAAATGGTCAACTCTTTCCTCGGAGAAATGTAATATAATCAGAAGCGATGACGACGAGAAGAAAATAATTCAGAAAAGAAAAAGCTACGCATTCTACTATACGCTATTGATTGGTAAGAACATGAGGATTCCCACAATTCTGGACATTTTGACACAGTCTTCAGAATGGACGAGTTGTGGTGGCTGATGGAAGTTGTCGAATCACAGCCACTGCTGTGGGTTTGGCTGGTTGTCTGTACACATGACTAGAGAAACTCGGCTAGAAGAGGCCTGTAAAAAATGAAATTACGAAATTATTTTGTGAATATGAGAATTTACTGAAACACTTACAACTGAGTAGAGTCTATATTCGCATGGATCGACGCGGTGCGGCGCCGCGCGGCGCCTCAGGCGACAACTGAAATAATTGTTGGGATAATGAACGTGATCAATGAGTAGGAACGAAGAGGGCGAGCGGATAGGATACTAAGGCAGCCACAGTGGCAAAGGAAGCCTATTTTTTGTATCCGGTAGAAATGGGAAAATGACTGCGCCATGTAGTCGACTTGGGATTGAAATCGAGAGTTGGTCGGGTCGCCAGCACAGTAATTAAGGTTGAGCTAAACTGAGTTTGAACAACATCCAACCCCACCCTACCCTTTTTTCTACCCCACTCCCTGTCAAGGACTACTACGAGGCGCTACCGCAAGATGTGGAGTATCCTTTAGGACTCAGCCTAGGAGGGACGGGGACCTTGGGAAAAATGAAAACTGCTCAATTAGGACCTTGGAGCCTCTCCTCCCCCGCCCCCGTTCAGTCCCGTTCTAAAGAAAGTTTTGTCCATTGCCGCCCCTCTTGTGGTAACCGCTCTAAATTTCCTAGTTAAGGTACCACAAGCTGTCTTTGCCTCTATGCCACACTCCTAACCTCTTCCGTCCCACCAGCCATCTGATTTTCCTGAGGCAATGTCCATCAAGAAGTGGGGAGGGAGAGTTAGCGCGTCTTTTGAAGGAATTCCCTAACCCGAACTATATCCTGCTCCTTTTTATTACGACACCAGTCTCCCAGTTCTGCTCAACATGATTCTGGCCAGTTAAAACCACTCCTATCGAGGAATCCATGACGTTGGTTGCTCTCTAGTGGTCCATTAGGGTCTGCAGAAGTTTGGTGGTTTCTACACTAACACATGTAGTTATAAGCGGGTTCTGGCAAGAAACAGTAACACGAATATTTAAAGAATAATGAAGAGAAGCAAGCAGATTTAATAAAAGTAATCATAAGAACTACTGGTTTATTCACAACCTACCTGGGTGGAAACGATGTCAGGATGAATAGACGCGGGTTCGTTTTGAGTTAAGTGTTTTGCTCATGATGTAGCCTCTTTAGGAACAACTATCGAAGTACAAAAAAAGTAGTTGACAATGAGAAGGAAAGTGAAGTGTGGGTTATCGGTAAAGCGTTCACGGAGGGGGACGTTCATGCTCAGAGTTACAACCCTTACTCTTCGAGGATATGTCTTCCAAGCGTCGATAAAGAGAACTCAAGGAAGGGTCACATTGCATGGCATTCAGAAGAGATGATAGTACATCTATAGATGTGCCGTTCAAGCGCTGCTTCAAAGTCTACTATCCAACTATGCTAACCGATTCCGAATGAGTAGGAGCAGAATAGCGCAACGGAGTGGTCGGGACTCACAGTCAAAACGACGCTGGATCGGTCCTCTACCGTGTTTACTGTTTTCCATTCTTCAGAAATATAGCTAAACGGGTTTTAATAGCCTATAGAACTGAATTTATGAAGAATGCAAAACAGTAATTACGATAAGGGACCAATCTACGACATTTTGACTGTGAGTCTTGAGCATTACCGATTGCGCTGTTTTTCTTCATAACTCATTCGAGAATCGTTTAGCAGATTTGGAAGGTAGATTTGAGATCAGCGTTCGAAGGCACATCTAGTAGTATATCTCTCTCGAATGGCCCTGGCGACCTGGGAGGCTTCTTTGTTAGAGATTCCTTTGATTGTGGGGTTGATTTGAATGAAATTCTGATATTTGATAAAATGATGTCGTAAACGTGTTAAGCCTTGCCGCCGCTATTCATCTAGTCCCCACATAGGACATCACTCAGGACGCCGTGAAATCGGCCGACTGGGCCAGATCGTCCATACGTGACATTTTGATACGCCAGGAAGTGTTCAAACATGCTCAGATAATCAAGTACAAGTCATTCGTCGCAATATCACCCGTACAACGGAATGGATTGAAACGACCTCAATAGGGAGTTTCGGTTTTTCACTATAACATTGAAATTATTATTGATATTGAAAGCTGAAATCCCTCGCTATTTGTTAAACAATAATTGAACATAAGAGGACACTGAGCTGCATTGAATAAAGTGCGATTCTATGCCGACAATTCGAACGTTATCGAGTTTCGTTTGAATTCAGTCTTTCATTTAATCGCTATCGTTAAAGGACGAATTCACGATGAAAAGCAACCCATTTCAAATTAACCTAGGGATGGTGAGTGGTACACGAAAGAAGGAAGAACCATGAGAAACGGCCCAGAACCCGAGAAAATGGTACCCCTTCCTTGCCCGTTGATTCGAGCATTGATGCGACTCTCATCGCTGTGCCCTCTTCAACACTACGCTCTCTCAGCTATCTAATCACTCGCCACGTATTGAACTACGGCGAGTGATCAGATGATCGGTGGGCGGAGATCGCCGGACCCGCCAGCTTTGAGGCATGATAGGTCGCCGAGGTCAAATTTTTCCATGCGAATTGCGCGTCAGTTCGCACCCTCAGGAGGTCCGTGGGTCCCTCAACAGGTTTCCCTTTCTTCGACCTTCATTCTAATCGTGAATTCCTTCCAAGAGAACTTCGTATAATCTGTGTGTGAAACAGTGCTGTGTACATATACATAGCTTCTCGATAGACGTAATTGAGGTAGGTGGTACGATATACAAAGAATGAAGTATTCGGCGTTGCTCTCTTTCTAG